CCACTTTTGTCCAAAAAAGCATATTTTTGACCCAAAATCAAAAACGCATTCTGGATATTTAAAATGAAGACAAGTTTTACAAAGTTTGTATAATAAGCTTTCAGAAAATATATAACATGCTGGATATATAATACCATCTTCATTGTCTAATTACTCAATTAAAAAGCAAGCCAAATAAACTGCATCTCTACCTTAAATGCATTCTGATGTTGTATAAATGGAAACAAATGAATATTATAATTGTCAGTTTAGAAAATATTAAAATTTTCGCAATGCTCAGTTCTTAAATGATTGCATTGGTCATTATTTATATCACGACATTTGAAACTATACTGAATAATGAGTTGGACAATTTTTGTTTACAAATCATTTTATAAACAGTGACAATCGCTCACACTAGGCAGATGTACACTGGTTGATTAGCGTTGACTGTCCTTAGGGGTGCTGTAAAACTTGATGGACTCCCACCCTACTACAAACCCTTTGTGAAGAACTGAAGAACACTGAACATGAAGTGTCTATATTTACCTTTAACTTTGCTTCAACCACTGAAGTAACCTGTTAAAAACAGTAAAGTGTGTGAACACATTTGTAAATAGTGAGCAATTTAAATGATTTGTCATTTAATATAAAAATTAAAAAATTCTATTGTATCTTAAAAATGTTTTTGGTTTTTTTAAATTGAATGTAAGTAATATTTTTAATGATTCAATATACAAATAAGCGACATTTGGTTTGTATGTAAGAGAGCAAATTCAGTATTTATGACACAACACTTGAAGTTGTAAAGTAAAATAGGAAACTAATTTATTCTGGCAAATCAAGGGGTCCACTGTTACAAAATTTTGCAAAGGTTACTGTGGTGAAAACTGCATCTAGTTAGTGGTCAGTAGATGAGGTGGTAGTAGGACAGTGGGAACTAAACTTACCAGAGGTGATTAGGTAGAGGTAGTGAGAAATGCAACTACATGAACATTAATGGTTATTGGTAGAGCGATGAAAACTGCAACTACGTGATGACAAGTTAGGTAGGTAGAGGCAGTGAAAACTGCAACTACGTGATGACAAGTTAGGTAGGTAGAGGCAGTGAAAACTGCAACTACGTGATGACAAGTTAGGTAGGTAGAGGCAGTGAAAACTGCAACTACGTGATGACAAGTTAGGTAGGTAGAGGCAGTGAAAACTGCAACTACGTGATGACAAGTTAGGTAGGTAGAGGCAATGAAAACTGCAACTACGTGATGACAAGTTAAGTAGGTAGAGGCAGTGAAAACTGCAACTACGTGATGACAAGTTAGGTAGGTAGAGGCAGTGAAAACTGCAACTACGTGATGACAAGTTAGGTAGGTAGAGGCAATGAAAACTGCAACTACGTGATGACAAGTTAAGTAGGTAGAGGCAGTGAAAACTGCAACTACGTGATGACAAGTTAGGTAGGTAGAGGCAGTGAAAACTGCAACTACAGAAATGACGACAGCGTAGCTGTACCTGGCAGGTGGTGAGGACCACAACTACGCATGAATGGTTACTGAAATGTTATAAGTAATAAAAACACTCGAAAAATTGAAAATACAC